TACAGACGGCCAAGTAAATAAATTAGACTGCTAACAATTAATTTTATCTATGTACCAACATACAAAAGCGATGTTGAAAAAGTTACACTAACACTGACGTTACGTACCACATACGTCGGGTGGTCTAGCTCTCCTACTTAGGGACGTGCTACCTATCAATTTTCTCCCGTCGCACACGCATCTCTGGCCACTAGGAAACTACCAAAAAGGACACGGAAAAATTCCCGCACAAAATGAAGTTTTGAATGAAAAACCGTTTGACCGACGTACCACGTACGTACGTCAGTGGTTAAGGGTTAAAGCCACTATTCCTACCACAGCTATACCTGTTGGACAACTTTTGTCAACAATGTGCTCAATTTTTAATCACAAAAATATACACTTTTATATGAATTTCACATTAATTAGAGTTTCTGTTACCTCACAGGGATAATCAGTGTACCGCACTTTTATCAGAATATTAATAGTTAAAATCCCTTCGTTAGTAACAGCTTTGCTTTTTAACCGACTTCAAAAAAGGAGGAGGTTATATCGTGAGCATTTAAGGACCACAGTAGATATACTACTTTTAGCATTGGCTATCGGCTATTTTGCGAGTGTACCGATTCAGCATCGCGATTTAGCGACTTCCTCCGTTCGGACGCGGTATAGGAATCGCGCGTTTTAGCGACTCTATCGCTGAATTTGGCGTTTTTAATGCAGAGTTGCACCATCTTTCACTTTAACCAATGTCAAAAATCTGTCTAACTCCATACAAAAACACCGGTTATTGTTAAAGTAACTTGGTGCAACTCAGCCTTAGTGTGCGGTGTAGAATGTGTGGTCGCTACATTCAGTTTCTAAAAAGCGCCTAAATCGCCTATGATAAAGTAGCATGTGTGCTGTGCTGTGGCTCTATTCAGAGAAACGAATGCAGTGGTATCCTTTAGAAAAAATATTTTACTAGAACTAGTATTATATTATTATCTGTGCTGGAACTAAAGCTGCAGGGAATTTTCAGACCCGAGTGTACCAACAGAAAATTATTTTACAGTCGATTTTTCTGTGAAAATACACAATATTTGCAAAATAAAATCTATTCATGGTACCTGTCTGTTGATGACTCCTTTTCGTTGTGCCCACTCCATAGAAAACATTATTGCCCTTTTACACTGTAAGTTGACTGAACGTTATTTGTAAATACAAAATAAAGTTCCAAATATATTTTTGTTACAGGAAGCTTCAGCATTCGCAGGCAGCGCATTCTTCCCCCATAAAAATCCACCCCTAAAACGAGTTTATTGTGACATACTAGAGGTCCCATTCCATACAGCGAAGATGGCCTACAACGGAGAATACTTATTTTTAGGTGTAAATCCGAAACCTGGCGACACCATTGAGTATTGGTTTGCAAAACCTACTGTTTTAAAAAGGTACCAGCATTTTCAAAAACAGTATATACGTAAAGAACTTTGATGTACCTATGCTTAATATTAATTGATATTGTTTAGGTCGTAGTAGTGTTGCAAATATTTTTAAATACGACTTACAGCTTACATTTAAATCCCTGTTTTGACTAGTAAGTACTTAGTTTTCACGTGATTATTTCCTTACAAGACAAGATAATGAAATAAATAATCTTATTTATTTATTCTAGTCTTTGACGAATTTCAGCTTCGTATTTCAAAGTGGTAACTATCAGAATACAAAGGACTTGCTGAAAAAAGCAGATGTGGAAGTATTGCCGCTTGGTGGACTGATGTACAATTTTACTAAAGTTGGTAGTTTTGACGAATTCGGCTACGTAAAAGGGGATTTGGCAAGATTTGGTCCACTTGAAGCAATAAGGCTGAAAGTCATTGATTATGGACCCACAGATACAGGGAGAGTAGTGATTAGTGAGGTAAGTCGCAATTTGCTTACGTTTTCCCGAAAAAAAAGAAAAATATGTTGATATTCAGTCATTTAAACAATGAATTTATACTAACAAAACAGAAAACTTTTTTCGTGAATAACTCCTTATTTGTTAACTTTAATGCCTATGTTTTAATGACTAAATATCAAGCTAAGCACACGCGAGCAAAATGTACTCACTACATACTAACAAAGTTTCAGTCTATACGCCTCAAATGATCTCAGCTCTCTGTGAACACGGGGCGCAATTTCGCTTGCACTCATTAGCAAGTTGTAACTGTAACTAACCAGATACAGTAACGAAATTCTAGTATGTTCGCGAGTGTTCGTTTGAAACTGCACAATCGCTCGCTGCGAACACTTAGTCTGTCAAAAGCGGGCGAAACACTGTGGTTTTTGGTTTGGTATCAGTCACTTGAACCAGATAGTTTCAGCTTGTATTAGTTTGTATCACACAGACAAACTAAACTTGTGTGGCAACCAAGTAAATCTTAACGCCATCTCCTGTAGGAGATCTTTAAGGCTTTCACGCTAATCTATACTTATAATAAATCTGTAGAGAGGTCAATTCTGTACATGAAATATATTTTCAAAATAACTATCAGGGGGTGATTAGTGATCGATACTGATGCCAAAAACCGGCCAAGTGCGAGTCGGACTCGCGCACCGAATTATATTATATAACTAAAAAAATGTAATTTTCGCAATTTTTCCTATATTTGCATTATATGACAATGCTTTATGCCAAATTTCAAGATTCTGAGTTTACGGGAAGTATCCTGTAGGTTTTGATTCCTTTGCGAGTGTCGAAAATTTGTATCGTAATATATAATCGGCTGTATCTTTTGATTGGCTTGGCTTAGAAGTTTGATATTTTCACAGCTTAAAGGGACAATAGACCTGAGTATTTCATGTGAATTTCAGCTTGATACGTTCACGCGTTCTTGAGATAAAGGGTCTTGACAGACGGACGGACGGACAACAAAGTGATCCTATAAGGGTTCCGTTTTTTCCTTTTGAGGTACGGAACCCTAAAAATGAAATCAGTAAAATTTTTGTCTGTCTGTCTGTCTGTATGTTCCTTATAGAAACAAAAACTACTCGATGGATTTTAACGAAACTTGGTACAATTATTCTTCATACTCCTGGGCAGATTATAATATACTTAGGAATTCCCACGGGAACGGGAATGAGCGGGAAAATCCTTATGTATTAAAAATCTTAACCGCTTAAGTTAGACGCTTGAAATTTGGCATGCAGGTACCTTAGTAAACTTAAAGCTTAGTTACAACAGGATATTGCAAAATTCCCACGGGAACGGGAATTAGCGGGAAAATCCTTTTGTATGAAAAATCTAAACCGCTTAAGTTAAACGCTTGAAATTTGGTATGCAGGTACCTTAGTAAACTTAAAGCTTAGTTACAACAGGATATTGCAAAATTCTCACAGGAACGGGAGTTAGCGGGACAAAACATTTGTATGAAAAAATCTAAACCACGTAAGATCGATGAAGGGGGTAAAACGGGATCCACGCGTACGAAGTCGCGGGCGGCTGCTAGTAACTAATAAATAACCAAGCATCAAATAAAACATTCACTTTTTTATTACAGATCATGCTCGTGCCTTTGGATGACAAAGATTTCGTCTGAAAGTATAAAATTTTAGAAATAAATAGAGTAATAAAAATACTAATAAAACGGTGATTGCACCAAATACGTATGCTTTTCATTTTAGATATTGCTAGTTTTTGAAATAGACCTAAATATAGGCAAAAAGTGTATAGGTATTGTAGTCAATATAAATTTGGAATTCATCTCTTATAGCTAAAATAACCTAATCCAATATACCTACTTAAAATCTTTATTAACGTTTGATAACGAAAATTATAAAAGTAGGTAAGTTTTCAGCTTATGTTATTGCTTTATGTAACATCGCTCCAATTAAGATTACCTTCAATCAAGCCACACAGCTTAATATTCGATTAGTGACAATACGGAAATATTGGTCATGACACTACTGTAGCCAGTTGCATACCTACATAAGATGTGAGGTGCTAATCTAATCGGCCGTAATTACTATGACACGCATTAATTATTGGGTGATTAATAAATTAATCATGTGCGACACCAATGTAAATTATTCTGGTAGGACATTATGGCGATTATCACAGTGCGCCGCGCTCCGCCGCGGTACGCGAGACGACAGATTTAATCATTGTATGCAAGTACCTCAGTTTGTATAGAAAACACGCGCGGCACAACACACAGACTACGCGTCTGCGCGCGGGATTTTTTAAATGAAATCACGCGGACCGCGCGCGGCGCAGTGTGATAATCGCCTGACTTTATTTTTTTTTTTGTAATTTTTCAGTTAGAACTTAGACAAATATTTTTTATAAGAATACCTATCCTTCATTCGGCTCCTTTCAATATTTTTTTCGGATTTGTGTTCCTAAGTACAGAATGCCTCTGTCCTCCCCAACCCATCTGACCGACGTGGTGTGTAGGCCAAATTTTCCATTTTACTCTGGTCAATTAAGACTGAGAAGAAAAACTGATGATGATTAAAAACCGAAACGACTGAGAATGTTTTGATAATGGAAATCACAAGATTGTCTCTATCCTTAATTCAGAGTCTAAATTTAAACTTCGTTTCATGATACGAGTCTTACAAAATAATTATTAGGTAAGTGGGATGTTTACATGCCAATTAAAATGACTTTCCAAGAAGAGAAAAGCTTTCAAGTGTTTTCTTCATTTGGCTATCGAAATCTATTTTTAACCTTGCTTTTCAAGGTAAGATCATAATTAGTATTTTGGTAGGTACTCCAGGGAATAAGTTGACGATCAAAAGGAGTGATTATGGTATAATTATATTTTAAGCCAGTAAACATCGTATGAGCAATATGGAATAAAGTTACAAAGCAGATTAAAACACTTTTATAAGGTTACAACAGATTTTTATTCAATACACCACATATGCGAACTACTTTTACAATATCAGGTAATGATGTGATTAAAACGAATCAGTCTAAAAACTTAAGGACTACTCACAAAAGGTTAGATATTACGTAACTCAAATGCGCTTGATTCACTTATTTTGTGACAATTTTGTTTGATGTTTAAAGTTCAGTTTGGTACATCTCTCCCACATTAGCAAGATGTAGACATCAAAGTGTTTTCTATTTTGATATATGTATGCTTAATATCTACAACTAACTTGTATTTACGCCGAAGCAACTCATCCAATTGAGAGGAAAATCGAATCCAACATTGCTCCTATTTATAAATTGATGAAAAGCCTTAGCGTTTGCGTCATAAGGTAAATTAACATACTAAATTCAATACCAATTACTTTTCATTTTCGTGCTATTATACATAGTTTTCATGCTATTATACATAGTTTTGAGTTGAATATCATTATTTAAAATTGTCTTCAATTACCTAAACAGGATCAATCCACTATAATTTTGATTAAACTAGCATGAATGAAAAACTGAATAGGTAACTCGAATCGAAAAGCCAAGTGTTTCCACCTACCTATTATTTACAATTAACAAATTGATTTAATAGTACTTACGATTCTGGTAAATGATAGAAACTCTACCTACACGGTCCTTTAAAGGCATCGACTGGATGGTTGAAACTTAAAACACGCACTTAAGTACTTAAGCGCAATACACACTATGCCCGCCGGGCCGCCGACAAAGCCCGGCTACACAACCCGGCAGCCTGTATGAAAAGAATTATGTCGGCAACATGCGCCCGCGCGTGTTACCCGCCGACATGTTGGCGGCTTGGGTACGCCTGCGCTCAGTTGCCCGGCGACTCTCGACCTGTAGTGACGTGCTTGTATGCTGACTTCCAAATAAATTTCTCATCTCAAGCCGCCGACATGCCGCCGACCAAATTTTTCGACTTGTAATAAGTGAAGCCGCCAACTAGACCGCCGACAAAAAGTTGCCGACATATGTCGGCGGCCCGGCGGGCTCAATGTGTATTACGCTTTAAGTATGCTGATAAAAACAAAAAAGTCAATCACTGCCGTGGTACCACTAATGCTTTGAAGGGTGCAGCAGACGGCGTTGCACCGTCAACATGATCCAATGAGGGCAAAGGTTCCCCTGGAACTGGCAAGAACGAGAACCTCTGCAGCATTGTTGTGGAGAATATAAATATGTTGCACTTGGCCAACACATCTCCCATGCATCTGTGCTTGAAGAGGCCGAATGGGAAGTAATGGTCGGGCAGCTTGACTTTGCCCTCGCACATGAATCGCTCAGGCTTGAAAGCATACGGGTCCGGATAAAGGTTCTCGTCCATCAATATGTTGGTGTAGTTGGAGACTATCATCGTGTCCTGAAAAAAAGTTAATAAGATTACCTCGGTTCCTATTATTATAAACTAGCTTTCCGCCCGGAGCTTCGCCCGCGTGTAATTTTGTCTGTCACAGAAAAACTTTATTGCGCGCGTCCCTGTTTCAAAAGTCGGGATAAAAACTATCCCATGTCCTTTCCCGGGACCCAAACTGTGCCTAATTTAATTAAAATCGGTTCAGTGGTTTAGGCGTGAAGACAAGACAGACAGACAGAGATAATAATATGTATTATGAATCCCAGCATTTAACAAATTTTCATATAAACAAGTAGCAAATAAAACGGAAAACTTGAATTATTGTATTCTTCGAAATACTCGCATATTCCCATAATTGCACGAATTATAATTTTAATTAAAGTTTAATAATAACTGATAATTTTGTACAAAAAGGCCACTCAGTTGAAAATGTGATTATGTGAATATGACTCAATTTATTATGATCAAATATTCCATTATCATCAAATAATTCATAATTCCTTGCATTGCATTAAATAAAATTTACCACTAACGAGGCTATTATAGCCTGACCACGAACATAAAAACCCTCGCCATGTTGCGGAAAACTAATGGTACTAATTTCTTTTAATGGCAACAGTAACTGAAAACTTCATTGACATGTCACCTTGCATGTCAGTTTATTGCTGTCAAAGTGTAAACAAACTTTATTTTAAATGTGCGCAATTGGTTTTATGAATTAAATTGCTAAAATATTTTTATAGTCGTGAAAGAAAAGTGGTTCACAATGTGTTAAAGTATTTGTCGAAGAGAAATACTAAGGGTTCGGACTAGGGCATGCAAAAACCGAGCGGTTTGGAAAAACCGGTTTTTTCGGTTTTTATTTTTAAAAACCGAACTAAACCGGTTTTTTCGGGTTTTTTGGGGCGACTGTTTGTAAGTAAATAAAAATGCTGCAAATTATAATAAAAATCATTTTATTTCTTTTATATTCTAGTTTGACAAGATTTTGTTTTATTTTCTCAAATTCGTGTGTGGGCGACTATTTATGTGTAATAATGGTGGATTATTAACCATTGAGTGTTCGTGAACGTCCATGGGTGTGGGCAAGTGAAGCAAAACAGTGCATCGTGATTCTTCTGGTTCTCTCAAGTTGTCCATAGGAGGTCTCAGTAAAGCACCACAACTTTACTGAGACTCAAAGGGTGGGAAAGGGTATCATCTATCATCCTTCATTATATCATTACTTGATCTCATTTTGTAACTCGTATCACTTATATACTGGAAAATGGCACAAATCAAGTCGACCTCGACGTGTATTGCCAACATCATCAAAAAAGAAGAAGAACATTTGGTAATAGTTATGCTTAATTAAANAACACTTGCTTTTATGGGGGGTAAATAGGCCGCAACTCGCGACGTATCAAACAGTTGATACATGTCTTTTTCCTTACTTCTTCACATCAGCCGGGATATCTTTTTAAATACTGGTGTGATTTAAATGAATTTGGTATCAATTTAAAGTTAAAAGTTTAATCTTTAAAATGGTGCTACTTTTTTTGTTACTAACAAATTGGTTAGTACACAAGATCGCGTGGAAACAACTTCATGTAAGTGATTCCATACTTTTGCTCGCAAGTGTAGCTTTAGCTAGAAGATACATGGTACTTTAGTTCAATACCATAGTCATAGACTATACTCTACTCATTCACATTGCATTACAATAATTGTTTTTATTGATATGACTAAAGAAGCATGTTCTTGTATGAGTTATTAAATTATCTAAAATCGTAGAAGAAAAACCGAAATAACCGAAAAACCCGGTTTTATAACTGACAAAAACCGAGTTCCAAATTGTGTCGGTTATCCGGTTTTTCGGTTATCCGGTTAACCGGTTTGCATGCCCTAGTTCGGACAATATTTTCATTGAATAATGTTTCCGACAAAGGTTGTCAAATTGACTGACATGTTTATCGTATAGTACAGTCCACTATGAAAATTAGCTGTGGTTTGTTTCAACTACCTATTTTAAAATTTTTTGTCACTTTCTAAGTGTTGAATTTTATGGGATTGGGAAAGAAGTACCGAGTTTGAAGCGTTCATGAGCAGACATTGCAGTTGAATATTCAAGTTCTGAATTTGATTATTGATGAATAATAAAATAAATTCTACTAGCTCGATTGATGGTTTCATTTAATTTAGGTTACCTATAATAATATTTTTTGGTTAATTTATGAAAATATCAAATTTGCCCGTAATCCTGAATCCTGATACATAAAGTTAGCCTATTAATTTAACACAGGTACGACTGTACTCAGTGTTGCACTATCAAATGCAATTGACGCGCCTCTATGCCAGGGTTTTTATGTTCCTGGTCAGGCTATAACTCAATTTCCCTGAATTTTAAATACACCGAAATTACGGCATACAACTTTGAATACATTAAATTTATTACTTTAAAATGTTATTTAAACTATGTCAATTTACGTCTAGGAAAAAAAACTTTTCACAAAGTGAATTCCGAGAAGTTAGATTGTGTTTAATGTAGCACTAAATAGGAGTCAGGGTAAAGCTACTTGAACAAACCGCTCTTAGTAAAGGCCTCTTTTATAAAAGCACTAAGTATAAGCAGGAAAAGATTCAGAAAGTGATTTTTCTAATAATTGCAGTGTAGAGAATTAAAATCTAAAATGGTGTTTCTAGAACTGCACTGTGAATACAAACACAGTTGTGGCTTTCATAAGAATTTCCTTGGTCAGCTTGGTCGGTTGGTGATATTTCTCGAAATACCGAATTAATAGGGTTTTCTCGTTGGAATGGTGTGAAGTATAGAGATGAAACTATTCGACGCCAATTTTGACTATGAAATTATAGAGAGATATTATCTATAAAATATACGTTCGTGTACAGTCAGCAAAATAAATACTTAGTCTGTGAAATACTGAGTCGTGTACAGTCAAATAAATACTTAGTCCGTGACACCCTAAGTGGCCAAAAAGTTGACAACACAACCTGATTCCAATTATAGCCACGATAGCCGAACGGTGAAGGGGTCGGAGTGGCCGACTCGAGATACGAGGAACGCGGGTTCGAATCCCACCGCCGCTCGACTATTGTGGTGAGCCCACTCTTAACACAAGCTTATTTAGCTTAACACGAGGGGCTAATGGGACTATTAGTAATTTGGGCAATACAAATTGGTAAAAATATTTAAAAAAAAAATTGTAACAAAGACGTGTTGCGAACTATTTTTTACTATAAACATAACATTTCATACGTACGATTTTGCTAACTGCTACACGCCCCGAGCAAAGTTTTGTGTGCATAAAAGTGCTCTTACCGGCGTATTTATATTTTCAAATAGCGCTCAAAATTCGTTTAAGCATTTCATGTTGAAAATTTTTAGACTGATTACAGACTAGCCACGACCATGTTAGCATGAGTTTATTCTCATGTCTTAGATTCATACTTAAGTATTTTTACGCTTACTTAATACGGTTCTTAGGAACTTATTAACATCGCGACTGAAAATTATTGATATTTATAAACGGAAACCTAGTGAATCACATTTGCTTTTCATTTAATAATATGGTTTTTAGTTTCTTTCAAAATTGTCTAAATACAAATAGTAAACAGCCGAAGATAAAATATCTACCATTCTAAAGTTACAAGCGATTCAATTGACCAAATACCGGCTCGGGTATGTCCACAAACCGAACTGTGTCGCATGTCTCGCAACGATCCCCGACGAACGAAGCTGCAATGCTATAGAATAGAGCGTGCATTTCTCCGTCAATACCGGGAGCGTACCTGGCATTGTGCGAAATTATTTCCGTTTTATCGACACTTTATTGCTCCGGTCGTGAAGGATTGTGAGCCATGATTGTGAGTGATTTTTGCAGGACAAGGAAACAGGATAATTTTCTGTGGATCCGTAAACAAAATATTTTTTTAATGATTCTATGTTGCTTCTGGTTGGAAGAGAACGGGCGAAATATAAGATTCAGCCAGCGTGTATCAAGTGTCATATCTAGTGATTGAAGTACGTTCATGTGACGAGAATAAAGGACGATGATTCTACGCCTTGGTCAGAAGTGTTTTGGAATACTGCTCGGTGGTGTGGTCACCATATTATGATGTCCACATAGATAGAATAGAGGCTGTGCAGAGACGTTTCCTCCGTTGTCTGAGTGCAAAATTCGGTCTGAGGCGTAGGCTGGGTACCTACGAGTCCAGACTCGACTTTTTTAGGGTGAGCACCCTTCAATCTAGGAGAGGCATTGCTGGCATGGCTACGCTCTATAAGATCTTGAATTCCGAATGTGACTGCAGTGAACTGTTGAGCCATTTTTCACTTAAGATAGGTGGTAGTAAAAGAACGCAAAAACTTTTTTCCCTGCCAAAATGTCAGAATAATGTAAGGTACAACAATCCAGTGTTCCGAATGTGTAGAGCTTACAATGAAATTAGCAAGGATCTAGATGTTTTCTCACTTTCTCGTGCATCTTTTCTTAAATTGTGTAGGTGCAAATTGTAAATTAACATGCATGTATTTATTAGAATTACTGTATCACTTAAATCAAAGCTAGACTAAAACGAATGTTGTGTTCAGCTACAATCGGAGTGCAAATTAATTGTTAATCTTTGTTCAATGTACTTTATTTTTAAGCCATGATTTGCAATCTGTTGCTGTACCTTAATAAATAATGATGATGATGAATGGTTTTTTGAATTGGAACAAATCTAATTATTAGTTCCGGTAACTTTTGACCATAGACAGATCCTTGTACCGTCGGATCGGAGATCAAACTTTCTACCTACTACTGGAACGGACTAGTATTATTAATCTTTTTGCGAAAAAAATTTTCTAATTTAGAAGCAAGGCAGTAAATAGAAATTGCGGGTAAACAATATTTGCTCCACTATCAGAGAAAATGTAACTCGTTTGTGCGCAGACAGCTCTGCCTGCACTTCCGTTTATTAAGGAAATGGAGGCGGGCGGTATGGATATGAGAATGTTTTGTTAACTTGTCCTTACCTCTGGTATCCTGTAGCCCTGAAGCGTGGTGTCCCTTAGAGCCCGATGTGGGACACCGAATGTACGTCCCATGAAGTGTCGGACGCTCTCGTGGACAATGGCACTGCAGTACGGCATTCTGAAAAAAGTAAAAAATTAAAAAATTAAGATTTCATACTTATTTGTCAAGAGCGAGTCAGGCTCTTAAAAGAAGTGTGAGCCACATGAACAATTAATATCTTTAAGCTCTGCAATCTATCTATATTAATATTATAAATGCGAAAGTTACTCTGTCTGTCTGTCTGTCTGTTTTGCTTTCACGCCTAAACCACTCAACCGATTTTGATGAAATTTGGCATAGAGATAGTTTGAGTCCCGGGAAAGGGCATAGGATAGTTGATAGACGCGTGCGATAAAGTTTTTCTGTGACAAACAAAATTCCACGCGGGCGAAACCGCGGGCAAAAAGCTAGTTAATTATAAATTACTTTCTATTTTCTTCTATCTCAAGTTTCTTCATTTATCATACCTATTGATTAAACCCAAATTAACTAACTTAATATTATTCAAATATCAAATCGTCAATATTTAACTAATTCGCCATTCAATATATCCATTTGAAAGCAATAGAGACGTCGCAATAAGGCAATAACGGTGCTTTTCCGTTGAAATTCCGTCGGAACAGAACTGCCTTAATTGGTCGATCCAGAACGTATTAGTTAGTTGGATTTCAAACGTCCACTCTAAACTCGAACGTTGGACTAAAACCGCCACTTAATGTGTTTACGCGGCTCTTGAACCGTTTCCACTATGTGAAGTTGATTTGAAACAATTTATTCCTAGGTCCAATTGCCCGGCGTACTGTGACGGATATCGTAACAATATTATGATAAGTGTACACACCGTACGTAGAAGGAATTGACCCACATCAAAAAACTGATTACCGGTATTGAAATATGCACAATAGTATTAATGGAAAACAGTAATTATGATCAAACACTTACTGATCCCGGTCATCCAAACACGGCATGCGATCCCTCCCAACGACGCGGTCAATCTCCTCTTGTGCCTTCTTTTGGACTTCTTGCTCCCTCACCAAATAACTGAATGCGAAGCTCATACTCTTGCTAGTCGTCTCTGTTCCAGCCATGAACATGTCCATACACATTGCGACCAACTGTCCCTTTGAGTATGTATTCACTTCACCATGTTCCCTCAGTATCCTAATGTACACATCCATGAAGTCTCTATCCTCTCTCTCAGGGTCGAAACTCTCTTCGTGCCTTCCAATTTCTTCCCGCAAGAACTTCCAGATTCTTTTGTGAGTTCTCACGAAGCCTCTGTACCCAGACATAGTTGGAGCTAAGATAGTCAATATTGGAAAATGACTGAAAGCCGTACCTACCATATCAATAGCAGAGAATAAGTCAAAAAGAAGGTCTTGGAGTACCTGCATTTGAGGTTCCTTCGGGTTATACCTTATTCCTGCCATCATAGACCACAGAGTATTCAATATGTACGTGTTGAAGAAATTATGCATCTGTATTACACCTTGCCTACTATCGCCTAATGTAATCAGAACATCATTGATCATGTGTGCAGCTTCAGAACAAGCTGTGTTACCCATACCCTTCCTTCCGAAGCCAAATTCTTTCAAATGTTTTACCAAAAAACGTCTTTGTTCTTTCCAAAGTTCTCCATCTGTCAAAAGAACACCGCGTCTCTCTCCCCAAGTTCGGGTCTGGTAGAAGATCCCTTTAGGCCTTCCGTCCAAGTCTTCATTGTACAACATTTCTTTGTTGGCTTCTAGGGTATTGACCATTACTATTCTGTCTTTTCCTATCTTGAGACCAAGTGCAGCTCCATCTTTGCAGTAAGTTCTTGATAGTTCCTTTACTGCTTTATACAGGTATCCAGTTTTTTCTCGAAGTTTATACACTTCGGCTGCGCTACCCAAAATTGGTACCCACTTGGGGCCTGGTGGGAATTTTTTTGGCTTTATGGTGTCCAGATAAAGTAGAATGCAGACCACTAGCACTGCGGCTAGTACTGCTAACCACATCTGAAACAAAAAGAAAATGTATTGTGAATAAGCACGCGAGATATCTTGGTACAATATGTAGATAGGTAGTGTCACAATTACAAAAAACTTGGGCAAAATTTGCAAAGCAAAGTCAATCATTTTATTCCTGTTTCCATTTGATGCCAATCGAGAATTATGCATACGACCCATATCTTGAAAAGAAAGGCAATAAATATAGCCATAATATTAAAAATCTAGTCTAACGGTTACAAAAGTCTTGTTGATGTTTACATTGACAAAGAATTGATCTCGTTCGCTCTACCTGTTCCAAATACCTCTCCAAGTTTCATGCGTCATGTTACACAACCACAATTCCATGGACGCTTTGAAATTTATAGAGACAAAGCGATGTTTCAAGCATAATTAGGCTAATCCTAAACTGCGCAAGTGGACGTAATGTCGTAATAGGATTATGGCGTCCAGCCATGGCAGGATAATTGTTCATCCTGCAGCGCGGTGGGGAGATCTCGACGTGCCTGGTTTAGCTAGCACATAGGTACGCATAATATGTAACACTATTAAGGTATATCGATTAACGTTATTGAATTACTTGTACAATATTCCCAGCTCCAGGATCTAATTATCGATGAGCTAATAGATCTTGACGCTGCAAACGTGGATGGAACTGTATTGAGTTTCTAATCGATATTAACGATGGACGAATGAAGAGTTAGACTAAGTACCTATTCGAATACAAGTATAAGTAATAAAGTAACTAACATTATAGATGAAATATCTTGAGGTATGCAGACGTATAATGCGATGTAAGATGCAAGGTATAGATGACCCACGCTGAACTGTCCCACCAAACTCAATGACAGGGGGGCGCTACCATCGTTCAACTATATGGTTTCCAACATGGCAAAAATCTGAACCAGCGATCCGGTATTGACGGTGGCGCCCCACTGTCAATGTCATCGACAGGACAGTCCAGTATTTTGGAAATATATATAAAGGTTTGCGGTTAAAAAGGTTGCGTAGTTTTTCAGTTTACAAGGTAGGTTTGAATTTTTATGATTAAGTTTTTGTAACAGCAAACGAACGGTGACAATCTCAGCGGGTAGTTTTTGGTAGGTACACCTCAGATTTTAAAACATTAAAATGGGAAATGGGAGTTACCTACAGGTAACTTTCCATAATCAAAAGTGTGTCACTAAACTTCTGCCACGATATTGCTTTGTGTTACGTCACAAAACAGTTGGAACAACCCTCAGATTCCGAGTTCAGCGTCAAAAGTTAAAAGCGTAATAAATAGCAACAGTAATAGCTTCATCTTCTAAATTGTTTACGCTACTAGTTAGTTAAAAGCTTTGGAGCTTTACATGATTGAACTGTTCCAATATTTGTTCAAATTGGAAAACACTAAAATAGAAATAAGCTTTTGCTTTGAACCACAGCCCACGCGCAAGTGACTATTCTGAACAAACTAAATTATTGAAAATTAATTTGATTTGGATTGGACGCAGGAAAATTAAAAACGAAGCAATTTAAAATGAATATAGAATCCATGAATATTTAAAACGTTAATCGTATTAAAATTTATTTCTGATCATGCTCTAATTTGTTTTTCATTTTTCAATAGATTTACTTTTATGGGATGGAATTTTATTACATTTATATTCATTGGTATTTATTATTTTTATACAAAGAGGGGGTACAGGGTCACCTGAGGTAAGCCTTACCAAAATAGTGACAGCAAAAGAATGATTAAGTACCAGTGACTGCCTTCTTCAATATCAAACAGTTTTTGATTAATAGATCTACATAATGTCTCTGTAGACCATTAGTAGATCATAACAAGTATGTAGTAAGTAGGTATGAGGTAGACTTGGGAATTGTATCCTAGCTGATAGTCTACTACATTAATTCTTTGAACTTTAATTTACTACTTCGTAACTTTGCCTCACAACTCCTTAATAATTTTAACTCTGACGTATTTTCTCAAGTAGGTTGCACGTTTGCACTCCTCTGTCGAACGGGAGAAAATCCAATACTTTATGAAGTAGTTAACCTGTTTTGTAAAATCACTAGTTTAAGCATACGAGAGAGCGCTGGAAAGTTTACGGCGCCAGTTCGTAACGTAACAAGGGCAATTTTCTGAACTCCGGGAATTCCAGGCTATGCTACCGGGATAGAACTACCGAGGCTCTCATTGAAGCTGCTCATGCAAATACGACGACGATCAAATAATACCGCTCTCGTAATTAGTTCTGTTTGGAATTCCGTAACTCGAAACGAGCCCTTTTAGGTCATGTCTGTTTGTGTCTATGTCTATCAAGACCCTTTTTCTCGTGAGCCTGTGGAGCTTTAAAGTTTAATTATTAACTACTCAGCCCTACAATCGAAATCTAGTACGAAACAAGCGTACAACATAAGGAGCTAAAGGGGAAATTCCATAAATTAATATTTAATTTGAAGACTTAAAATTGATAACAGCTTTATTTTCTGAGTTATTAAGATCACGAAGAGTGAGAAGAAGGTTGAAGGCACAAGAGCGCGCGGCAGGTCGCCCGTGCGCTTGACTGATCAGGTCAAAACCGCACTCAATGGTCCACTCCACGAGAGTTCAAGAAAGGCTGCAATGTGGGAGGAATGGCGACGAATTATGAAGCTTGCCACCTCACCAGATTTGACGACCACGACCACTCTGGCAAGAGTGTAGCGACGAAGAAGAAGATGTAACATGTATGGGCTCGCAATTAGCCGATATTCGTTATCAGTTTAGAATTTAGTTTGGTATTTGTAATGGTGGAAAATTAAACTCAAACGTGTCTAGTATGCAATGATTTGAGCTGTAATTTTGTCCACTAATGAATAACGTGTGGCAAATAATTAACGAAAGCTCCAAACCCATTCATGGTCGAAAACAAACATTAACGTAACAAACATCAAAATTTCACAGTAAACAGTTGAACTCATAAATGAATGTCGGTAGTAACATTTTCGTACTAATATTATGTGGATTTTGTACAAGTTTCTATCACAGTTTGTCTAAATAGTCCATTGAACGTCAATACCTAAATAACCGTTTGAGGTATATTTATGAAATTTGAAGTTGATATATATCTTGCAAGTCTCAATACATGAGCCAATGTTGAAGTGTTAATGCACAGTAGTTTTTGAGTGATGAGGAGTCAAAAGTGGCTCAAAGTGGTTCGTCTAAATATACGCACGGTGCAGTCCCCTCCATGGAACTAGGCTTATCATGCTCCCGCATGTCTATAGTGTTTGCTCAATATTGATTTAGTCGATTTTCTCCTGAAAGGAACATGTAAGACAAAAATAAAATTTCCAATATTACAGACCTTCTAGAGCAGATGCCACGAAAACTATACAAGATATAGCAAAACTTGACGGTCTCATCTGTATCAAATTGAATAAGCTTTTTTTGGTTCATAGTAGTCATGTCACTAGGACGCATAGTTTCCGAGGATTAAGCGAAAAACCGAAAAGTGGTACCTTTAAAACCCCCTCTCCCCGCCGGCTCAAGGGCTAAGGGCGGGGACTTTTGCAATGTTCACTACCTAACTAGGCTAAATAAAGTCCCGAGGTCAGAAATTGTGTTCCACGGATTTCTCTCTACACCGTCGTTAAGGCATTCATTGACTGGACTAAAAATGTTTGCTGTTTTAAAAAAATAACTCGCTGCTTTTTTCCTGTGGCAACACTACCGCTAATAGGATTTAGACTTGTCTCTTAATTTATTTACTGTAAGGTCTCTAAACTCGTCACTATTATTGTTTTAAGTTATAAAAAATGCCTAATAATTACATTAAAACGTGTGTATTGCATTGTGTTTAAAGTGCAAATATCGAGGAAAAAAACAATGTATTTATTCGTACATAACTACTTACATTAAAATGTCGTGACTGAAATAAAATAATGATTAAGTATTTACGTACCCCATACGTGTATCACGACTAAACATCGTGAAAATAATAAAATACTATTTAAGTAAAGTAAAAAAGTATTTATTTCTTAGAGGTATTGTCCCTTACATTAATTCGTATTTCCCATTCTCACTGCAACTTCTCTAGAGAGAAATTCAGAAGGACAAAGGCATACCCACTAAAAAGACCGGCCCCGGTGCTCCGTCATTCGCCTTAAGTAGGAAGAAACTGTGTGGGATTCCGGACAAAGCCTTCACTACCACAGTCCCTTCCGGCGATTGCCCGCCTACACGGCGGGCCCTACAGACCCCCCAGGATGAGGGGCCTACAAGGCCCCCCAGGACGGGGAGCGACGGGAGCAGCTGGGAGCACACAGCTGTTCCCGTCCGACGGTGGTGGTGGCCTGTGCAATGCAGGCGAGGGCGCCCCCACGCCCCCGGCCCGCTGGCCATCACCGAGGAGAGGAAACTGGAGGCGATCATACTGTCGCCTCTTCTGACCCCTCCGCCGTCGCCGGAGCGAGGGCGCGTTTGGATCATCTTCGCGCTCTCGCTCCGCGGCCTCCTTCTGTGATATCACATCTTCGCAGAAGGAGGCCATTGCCGCCCAGGCCTCGCTGCTGTCCAGCATAGCTTCAACTATACTGGGCAACACCAGGTCCTGGCCCACTACCGCGATTAGTGTACTGCTCTGCGATGCCCACGCCCTAACACACCGCAATGGTATGGTGCGCCGTGTCCTCTGCGACACTCGTGGCAGGACGGCGTGTCCTCCCTTCCGATGCGGTGCAGGTATGAGCCGAAGCATCCGTGCCCGGTCAATACCTGCACGAAACGGAAGGAGAGGTAGGTACCCGTGCGGGCGCTCAAGCCACACAAAATGGTCCCTATTACAACTTAATAAGGCTTAGATAACTTTAAATGTGACGTTCTCATATAATATACATACAAGTAACTTGGTGCCGCAAACTAAGCGTTTACTACAGGAACTCACGTAGGGTGTTAAGTTTGGAAGTTTGTAACTGCGCTTGCGATCAAGTGCGTTCAAGGAATCACACATAGTTTGGTAGTTACAAAATATCAAGACTTGACACTTGAGAAAGTGAAACAGTTTATGAATATTTACCTAAGTTATGCTTATGTTAAATCTGTCTCGTTAAAAATGATACCTATTTAAATTGGATGTCACTAAGTTTATACATAGATGTTAAAAAGTAAATACAGGATGGCCAGGGAGTTGACGTCCAAAGCTAAAATTTGGATTTCTTACATTAAGGTGTATCTAAATCACCCCCATGTATGTTCTACGATACAGCTTAATTTAGGAGATACAGTAAATTTTGTGATTTAGAACTTGGTGAGAAACAACCGTGAAGCTTTGAAAGTTGATCTTCACTGGAAATTTCCCTAACTTAAGTTAATAATAACAAACTACAAGTTCTCGCCAGAGTGAGAAAAACATTAAAAACCATACATAGGTGAAAGGAAAAAAATACAAAATTAACTCTATCTCCTAAACTAAGCAAAATTGTAGAACATGGTGGTGATTTAGATACACCTTGATGTAAGAAATCTAAATTTAGGCTTTGAACGTCAACTCCCTGGCCACCCTGTATAACTATAAAGTTTCAAGGGATTTGGAACGAGCTCAGATCAACGGCCAGACAACCTAAGACAAAGTATCTTGGCGCTTGGACGAGGAGGAGCGACCCCGAAAGGGAAAAAACGCAGAACAGGAACTTAAAAAATACATCAAATTATGGGTTTGGCCTTCAGGAACTTTTACACGCGGCGAAAAACGGACCTAGCTTAGTTATTAAAAAGAATAATCTGAAATATCTGCCGAGAAAGACTGTCTTGGTGACTTGAAGACCGACTCCAAATGAAAAAAGGCACTGAAGAAGTACTTACAAATACTAAAGTACATATCAATGGGTTGACCATAAGGAGCCTTCACACGCGACGGCAAAGTGGCCTAGCTTAGTTTGAAAAAGATAAAGATAAGTACATTTGCAATATCTACAAAATATCATTATTAAACAATACTTATACAAATAATGTGAACCCGGCTTTCAGTTCAACGCTTTGCGGAGCCGGCGAGCAACTGTTAGGTAACACATTACACAACCATTGAATAACTTTGTGCACGAATGGACATGCGTTACAAAATATTCATATACGTTCTTAACTTTTTGCCTACAGCTCGTTCGCGGGCCGAAAATGATAAAATTATACCCACATTTCGTAATAGACCTTATTATGTATTGCAGACCGAAACAGGTATTCTGTTATTATGAGTTAGCATTGGGGTCATAAGTACGATTTGTTTAAGGAATTGCTAATATAATATATTTCACAATTAAATTATTTTTTAGCTCGTTAATGACACTTAACCTGAAATAAATGTAAAGAGAAACAGTTAGTTATTGTGTAGAGTCGCGAGCACGTAGCTCTACTACAAATAAACGCATGCAGTTCGCAAAGCAGTAATTTATAGGTACATTACAAATACATAAATATAAATAACGAGTCTAATCTCACTTTAAAATGTTTCTGTGACGAAAATGGACTCTCCAATTAAAGGACTTGACAGTTAAAATATTATATAAAAAGTATGATCAGGGTTAGTTTTTTGGAAAATTGAGAATTTTAATTCTAGTCGGTCAAAACTTTCAACAAAATAGTGCCGTAGGTATTTCTACTCACACTTAATATGCTGATAAAATATAATTCTTAAAATATATAAAATATAAACAGTAACTTGATTTTTAACTCTGTAATACGACAGATTTAAGGTTAATTAATGATATTAATTTAATTTTCCAATTATTAACAAAATGAATAATCTGTTGATTTATTTATTTCCAAAAAAGGAGGAGGTAATATTTAAAAGTATTTTCACATTGCATAAAAATATAGCAAGACCAGTATGTAAAAAGGTTTGTTTGTGAAATAATTGATGAAGATTCACATTAGTTAACAAAAACTAAAGTTCATCAATAAAGTGTGAGTAGAAATATAGGGCACAAATGATTTCGCCATAAGAGCGCACTATAAACACAAGCGAAAAGGGAAAGTCCTCCCATCACACGGTCGCGTAATAATTAACAATATTCACCTTTGATAGTCGCGTCCGCGGCGGCTGCTCTCACTGGCGAGGGTCCGGAAGTGCTGGGCATAATATCGGAGCCCCGCCATCGCGAAGTCGGTCTGGCCGCCATATACACTGCTGCGTAACCACGCGGTTGCGAACTGTGCTCGCATGAATGAGCTTTGCTTGCTCACACCGCGACTGCATAAAATCAAAAATATTGCACCGAAATGGAAAGTGATTTACAAATTAGTGAATAATTTTACATAATGCTAAGAATTTGAAAATTGTGTGCACATTTGTAGCTATACTTAAGTTAACCTTACTCCGTAATATAAATAAATAAATGACAATCAAGCGAGATGTTATTTCTTTTTTTTTAACCTTTTACATGTGTCAAACGTCATTAGAGCTTTGGTTGTTATTAGTAAAATAATAATTTTCATTGTAATGTTACAGAACAGTAGTCCGTCATCGAGCAAAGTTACTGCACATTCACTTCGGTGTCTTTGAGGATTTATGCTTAAAAGATTTTGTTTGTGTAGGTAGGTAGGTACTTAAGTTGGTTACATTGTAATAATACAATTAAACAGCTCGTTTCTTAAGATAGCTAATACAGAAAGTTTATAATGCCTGCTAGAAATACAAGTAGTACCTATGCCAATAAAACTAATTATTAATAATAATATTTGTGTAATTTACGTGCGTGTAGCCCGCATAATAGGAAAAACATGTATCAAAATAAATAATGATTTGCGGGCAGCCCGCATGCGGATCAGATTCGCACGCGTCACATACACAGGAAAAAAAAGCACTGATTCTAAATTCTGTCGCAAGCGCATTGCATGTGCCACAATTATTTTAATTTTATGTGATGATCGTCGCGGGAAGCACCTGGATGCGAGCGGCGCAGGACCGGTGTTTGTGGAAATCCTTGGGGGAGGCCTTTGTCCAGCAGTGGACGTCTTTCGGCTGAAACGAACGACCGAACGAACGATGTGATGATCATGCAATTATCATTAAGACAATATACTGTACAATAAATAAAAACACTCGACATAAAGGTTCACATGTCGATATTATACAGGTTGTCCCAAAAAGAACGTGATAAATTACGGAAAAGAGAGCATTTGACAAGAAAAATAATTTGTACACACAGTAACATGAGATAATAATATGCTCAAAACAGGTCAAACTTTAAACATTGTCTATTTGGGGACACTGCAACCTGTGTAAATGTCAGCAAGCTTAACGTAAATCACAAATGAATGTGAAATAGAAATTAAAATACCTACTTAATGGTAACTAAAATTAAATGTCACGTCCTTGACTTTTTTGACTTGACATTTAATGTAAAATTTTATCATTTAGGTACCTACTTAAAAATCCTTTACATTTCAATGGACAAGTTTCCAATTTTTTTCTTTTAATAAAACTTGAAAATATAAGTAAAACTAATAATAATTGTGAAAGAAGTATGAAAATATGTCTACAAATACAAAGGTTACAGGGCCCTAAAGTTGTGCATAACAAAATTCGCGCCATTTTGATTCGAAATAGTCACGACAGTCATTCGAAGTACAAACAGTAAATCACCCCTGTGGGTCTAGACAAAGTGCAAATTATAATCGCAAACCAGTCGAAAAGTGGTCGAAAAGCCCCTTTTTTGTATGGAGTTTTGACGGATTCGATTTTCGATTCGATCAAAAAGTGAATTTTGTCTAGGGGGGCTGGTCCAGTGCTGTTGACAGATCCATTTTTTTTAATCTAGTGTTTTTAATTTTTCAGCCAGGGTCACTCAATATTCTTTCTTAGTAAAATCACAGAATAATAATAAGTATAGCCTGACCAGGAACATAAAAACCCTGGCATAGAGGCGCCTCAATTGCATTTGATAGTGCAACACTAAGTACAGTCGTACATGTGTTAAATTAATAGGCTAAATTTATGTATCAGGATTCAGGATTACGGGCTAATTTGATATTTTCATAAATTACCGAAAAAATATTATTAAAGGTAACCTGGTTTAAATAAATTAAATGAAACCATCAATCGAGCTAGTAGGATTTATTTTATTATTCATCAATAATCAAATTCAGAACTTGAATATTCAACTGCAATGTCTGCTCATGAACGCTTCAAACTCGGTACTTCTTTCCCAATTCCATAAAATTCAAAACTTAGAAAGTGACAAAAAACTTTAAAATAGGTAGTTGAAACAGACTACAGCTAATTTTCATAGTGGACTGTACTATACGATAAACATGTCAGTCAATTTGACAACCTTTGTCGGAAACATTATTCAATGAAAATATTGTCCGAACCGTTAGTATTTCTCTTCGACAAATACATTAACACATTGTGAACCACTTTTCTTTCACGACTATAAAAATATTTTAGCAATTTAATTCACAAAATCAATTGCACACATTTAAAATAAAGTTTGTTTACACTTTGACAACAATAGACTGACATGCAAGGTGACATGTCAATGAAGTTTTCAGTTACTGTTGCCATTAAAAGAAATTAGTACCATTAGTTTTCCGCAACATGGCGAGGGTTTTTATGTTCCTGGTCAGGCTATACTACGTACAGAAGTTTTACTTCGCGAAGGTATTTAAAAAAATGTATGCTCAATGTCATTAACAATATGGTGTAATTTAGCCTGTCTCAAGAGTCAAGCACCATTTTGTTGACAAACGTCAGTGATCGGCACTGCGCCGAAGCTATAGGGCTGACTTCGGTAAAATGATGTGACGTGAGGTGCCAAACTGCGGAAAATGGCGGAGGAAATACATGATTGAAAATTAATTATCATGAATAATATTAACTACTTATTTACCTCTCAGTGTCTTGAGGCAACTTAAAAAAGAACATTCTGTGTTTTTATTATTATTTAGGCAGTTAAATACTGCACAGTATTTAGTACACCATTTTCTTTATTTTGTTCCATCATACACAAGAATACGCGTGCGTGAGTCAATGTGAGGCCTTGTCGAATAGTATCCTGTAGGTGGGCCATCGTGCGTGTTTTGTTTTCGATGTAAACTCGCGGAGATGAACAGGCCTGGTAAAATTGTGTAATCTTTTTTGACATATCCAAGACCTGACCATATTTGAAAAGAAAAAGAAGACTTTGACATTATAGTGTCATTCTCGACAATGCGTTAGGGGTGGTATAGATGACCCACGCTGAACTGTCCCACCAAACTCAATGACAGGGGGGCGCTACCATCGTTCAACTATATGGTTTCCAACATGACAAAAATCTGAACCAGCGATCCGGTATTGACGGTGGCGCCCCACTGTCAATGTCATCGACAGGACAGTCCAGTATTTTGGAACTATAAGCATTGTGATTGAAACTTGAACAGGTGGCCAGACGTTACGGCACCACCTTAAATTCCACGCGAAAATACGGAGGTAATTTAAATAATTAATTTATCAGCCATTTCTTGATGGATTTCAAAAATAACTTCACCAGCTTTTTAGTTTTGGTCTATATTTTAATCCTATTAGGTGAAATCTAATGTTTTCAACATCACGAAACTTGTCTATTAACTAAAAGTCTATCTTTTGGTACCTAACCTTTTAAAACACTAAATGTGAACAATTCTTGGAATACAGTGTCAATTTTTGAAGTAGAACCAGAATAATAATAAGTACTATAGAACGTAGATAGAAATGCTATTAATACCTAATAGGTTAGGGTTAACCAATCTATTGCACATTCAAAAATGATCTTAGTCCCAATTACCAAAAAGGTAAGGAGGGATACTTACGTCTTTTAAACTCTTAAAATAAATATCAGCTGCAGAAATCTGGCAACCTACACGGTTGCACCTCCTGCATTCGAAACTTTGTGCTCCGTAACAAAGTTCAAGCTACTTGCTCCCAACTTTCGAAATAAAGTCTGAACTTTCAATTATTCAACTTCGGCATGAATTTCCCATTGAAAAGTGAATGAATGAATCAACTGCTTTTATAACTTATTGAAAAACCTTTTCAAAGAGAGTTTGCAAAAATGCTCGTATTTATTAAAATGTGAGCTGTAAAGATTTAAGTCACTGCCACGGTTGTATGATTACTCAATTAAATAAATGTTTAAGAGTTGAAGAACTTCTTTATCAATCGGGTATCGTTTGTAATAAAATAAAGAACAACATGAAACCCTTAAGCTATAAGTACCTAGTGGGTTCTTTCCCTCTGCCTCAGGCCCCCATTATTATGTTCGTTCGTTCGTTCGTTTCAGCCAAATGACGTCCACAGCTGGACAAAGGCCTCCCCCAAGGTTTTCCACAATGAACGGTCCTGCGCTGCCCGCATCCATTTTTATTATGTAGATCCTTTAAATAATGCTATTCCCAAAACTTCAGAGCACAGTTTTTTCTTTCGGTCAATCTACTTCTCATCCATGTCTCAAACCACAGGACCACTTATAAAATCACTTAAGCCCACTAAATTGGCAGCGGCACTAAAAGTAGAACTTAATATTTTAATTCTCTTGGCAACAATTTTGCCAGCTTGTAATATTTTGCTGTGGTTTTAGCTACCATTAACTGCGGTAGAAATCTCCATCAACACCTTTCTATTCATTATAAGGAAACATTATCGCCTCATATCATTAATTAATAACGAGATAGTGGCTACAAAAAAGATACACGAAGGAATTTTGACGCAGCATTTTTCAATAAAGAAAACTGACTGAGCAATTACTCATCAAAGGGAATTTTGCTGAAAGATAATATCAGGCGTCAAACTTTTATAACCTCATTTTCTTAATTATTTCAGCCCTGCGCGTGCGTGGGTTGCATGCCACTTAATATTTTAAAAGCATTACACATTTGCGACTTTCAGTTTAATTTGTAATAATACCCTTATATTCAACAACATAGGAATCAAAATTGGATGTTTTGCATTTGAATTCGCGTACAATGTTATCAGGAGTTATGAAAGGGGATCGATAGCGACTGTGCACTGTTATCACAATGGGGTCAGTGTGTTTACACGGATTAAATGGCGATTGCAAATAATGCCAATTACGAATGCTTCAGTTCAGTGCACTTAGTCGCAAAAGAACAGTAAGCTCGTCTG